AAAAAAAAAACCCAAAACCATCACAGTTGAGTTCTAAGGTTTCTTCTCCTACCAAACCTAAAACCAGCATGGATCTTCACAGAGGAAGATCTCTGCTCTAAGACAGGCAACTCTAACAGGTAATATCCCAACTCATCTCATCTTCACACACAGCTTACTCTTATTTACTCACACTTCTGGTATAGTCAACTTTCCAATATTTCGTTTATGGTTATTATATCTATTTTTCTAGGCTTTGATTTCTGAGTTTTGCTTATCAATTTTGTCATCAGATTTATGTTAGTTTCTCTTGTTGAGCTGAGAATTCTATCATCTTTTTATATACTCTAAAAAAATTGTTTAAAATGGAAATTATCCGAATTTGGAAAAACATAGGTAGAATTTACCCATCTCAACACACACACACATGAATTGTGCTTGATAATGATAATGATGGTGATAATTATAATTTTTACTTTATTCGTTTTTCTACTTTTAGGTTTTAGTTTTCTACTTTTTAAGAGTATTTAGTAGTTTATATTTATCCAGTTTCAAATTTTCAGCATTGAAGTGTTGATTCTAAATTATAACTATCTTGTTTTTGTAAATGTATGTTTTCCTTTTTTTTTTTTTAACTACTTTCACATTTTTCTGATTATTAAAACAGTGGGACTTATCCCTAAAATCTTAATAACTTTCTCTTTACTATGCTCTGCATTTTTGTGTCATTTTGCCTTTGATTTAATTTATTATACTTTGTTAAATCAAAGTATATACACAGTTTATAAACACAGTTTTCTTTCTGGTTTTTTTTTTTTTTTTTTTTGGAGACAAGTTCTCACTGTCACCCACACTGAACTGCAGTGGTGTAATCACTGCTCACACTGCTCACTACAGGCTCATCCTCCCACACTCAACCAATCTTTCCACCTCAGCCTTTTGGGTAGCTAGGACTATAGTTGTGTGCATTCACGCCATGCTAATTTTTGTATGTTTTGTAGAGACAGAGTTTTGCCATGTTCCCCCAGCCTGTCTCAAACTCTTGGGCTCAAGCAATCCACCCTCAGCCTCCCAAGGTGCTGGGATTACAGGTGTTAGTCAGCACACCCAGCAAACACAAGTGTTTTTGATAAGTATTTACATCCTATTTGTGCATTCTTGAGCATATTTAGTTATACATATATTAATAGTTAGAAGTAGATATTTATATTCAGCATCAAAATTATTCCCCTGAAAAGGGGAAGAATGAGAACATGTTTACATTTCCCTTGTTCTTTGACACTTATATTATTAGGTTTGAAATTTTATATGCAAAATTTTACTTTTATGTTTAGTTATTATTTCAACCTAAAGTCATGCTTAGCTTCATTGTTTGTTCACTGCTATTCTTTATACTCCTTTCCCTGCCATGCTCTTAATAATATTTTTGGAAGAATCACTGTGGGTCTTTTCTCCCTTCTTTTAGAGTGGCATTTTGGCTGGACACTTGAGATGGTACTATTCTTTGTTAAATCAGAAGAATTGTTCAACTACCTATCCTTTTATCACCAATGTTTAGTACTTTTCCTGGCACTAGAAGGTCCCTAGCAAATGTTTATTGAAAGGATTATTTGATGTTTCTGGAAGACCAGCTGTTGGACTACCAGAATGCGTCAAATGAATGCCACCCTTAGTATCTTCCCAAGTAGAAATTTGACCTTTGGAAGATGACATTGATCAGTGTTATCCTTTGAAGTCAGACTTGTTGAAATACATCTATTTCCATATATCTATAGCTACAGCTATGCATTTAGGGGATAGGAAGTAGGAAATGGTTGTCTAAAAGGAAAAGTTCAGAGATATAGGGAAAGCAGTACTGTGATACAATGAGGAAGAAGAAACTAGGGACTTGCCAGGGTTTTAATTTAGTTTCTATTTGGTGAATAATCCTGTGCAAACATAAATTGACTGAAAGTGAGGAATAGGCTATGCATAGGATGAAGCAAGAAAAAGAGGATACAGGATGAAGAAAAGAATTGATAATTTTACACAAATGAGATTAGCATTTATTTACATTTTTCACTTTTCCACTTAGTTATTAGCTTTGTAACACTTCTTATTTTCTTTATTATATACATCATACGATAAAGATACAGGAATGAATTTAGTAAAAGAACTATGTTAGGGTGAAATTTAGATTGCCATTCTACAAAACAAAATTTTAGTATATGTAAAGTTATTTTAAGAAAGGGAGGAAATAACTCATTCTGTGAGGCAGCATCATCCTGATATCAAAACCTGGCAGAGATACAACAAAAAAGAAAATTTGAGGCCAATATCCAGTGAACATTGATACAAAAATCCTCAGCAAAATAATGGCAAACTGAATCCAGCAGCACATCAAAAAACTTATCCACCATGATCAAGTATGTTTCATCTCTGTGATGCAAGTTGGTGCAACATTACAAATCAATA